TATATTATATTATATTATAGTATATTATATTATATTATATTATATTATATTATATTATAATAATTTTATATAATATTTATATAATATTATTATATTATTATTAATATATATTATTAATTTATAAACGATAAAGAAGCGCTAGTCAACGTAGCAGCAAAATAAATTATAGTGCGAGGAGTTTTAAGGCCGGTTCGGACACGGTTAGTAATTTAGCAGAGTGGTGATTAATTTAGTAACTTATCGTGTGTGGTTATTAAGGTTTAGTCGAATGAGTTACTAAATCAATTTTAATCGAGTAGATCTATTTCGTTGCATTTTTCTGTTCGGATGAGCTTCCAGCAACGCTCGTTAATAACTAAACAGCGGTAGTTATGCATTTGGAACAGTGGCGCGTGACTCGAATGTAAAACAGTGAATATACTTGGAGTTTAATAATACTGTTGTATTGTTTTCAACTTACTAAAACCGTTAGAAAAGGAAATAAATGCGTACGTAACACCTGCAGCATGAAATTAATGCGGACAACTTTCATTTTGCATGCAAATTTGCAATGCACTAATGGCAAACTAAACCTATACAGGGTGTTCGATTTTAATTTATACATGAAAATAATAGTGCCAATAATTTCTAACGACTAGTTATTGCTTTCTTGAAAATTGTATGTTTATCTTTTTAAAAATCGTACGTTTCTTTTCCTTCTTCGTAATTGTAAATAAAAAGGGAATATTTTTGGAACAACTAAATTTTCGTACGATTACAACTTTTGTCAAGATTATTTATTCGATCAAAGTTATTATTTTGTTAAATTTATGTTTATCAATGTTATTGCTTCCTTTAAAATCGTATGTTTATCTTTTGAAATGTTTCTTTTTCTTTTTCGAAATTGCAAATAAAAAGAGAACGTTTTTGAAACAAGTAAATTTTCGTGCGATCACAACTTTTGTAAATGAATCGCTAAAAAAAGAACACAAACGTACGTCTACACCAAGTTCGCATGAATTAGTATAATAAAAATTATATAATATATAATAATATATAATAAAAAAAATTATATTAATAATATATAATAAAAAAAATTATATTAATATTATATAATAAATATATTATATAATAATATTTATATAATATATATAATAATAATAAATTATATAATATATAATAATAATATATAATAATAATATTAAAATTAGTATAATAGAAAGTGCTAGCAGTTTATCGTCGTTTGTTATATAGTGTTACAGTTCACATACGAAACAAATGATTTCTTCGTAGAATGTAACAAACTGTACGGATTGAAGAACGTTCGGATATTAGAGTGTTTGAATTATGAAAATACTATGGCACGGTGAACAAGTCGAGTCGGTACTGGCGCAGAAATGCACTCCATGATCGTTTCGAGAGGACCATATACATAGTTGGGACCACTTAGTCGAGATGGAGACCAGTTGGAGAAAGCGCATAACTGTAGTCGTTGCTTTTAATTCGTGCTCTCGGCACGTTGATGTTCCTCTTGTTCTTTTTTATTTGAGCCCGCTTCTCGAGTAGATTTATAATGACGGTCAACCGCGAAAATATGACGCAACGGAACCGTGCAAAGGAACAAGAAGGAAAGTGATTTTTCAATTGCACTTTCGCTAATGCTGCGAGTGAAAACCAGTATTTATCAGTTCCGTTGTTTTTCTTCTTTTTTCTTTTTTCTTTTAATACGATCCCCGACAGAATTCAGGCCACAATGGAAGTGTTTCATTCTATTCGATCGCTATAAATTAAGCGACCCTCGTCGATCAATTTGGCGTTCTGAATTTCCTATTGCTCTGCGCGCTACAAATTCGTAAAAACGAGAAAGAAGCGTAGCCGTCTGTTAAATAATTAATGATGTTGTTCGTCAGTTAGAATAGAAAGTTCGTAAAAAGGCGTAAGATGAATTTCATTATTCTACTTTTCTTTCGGTAATTCCTTCGGATTATCGAACGTATATTTTCTGAGCTTGTCCGCGCTTTCGTTTCGGATATTTGTGCCGAGTAAACGGCGATTCGCTGAAACGGAACAAATCGACCGGAAATCTAAGAACGCCGGCAACGACCGCGAATTCTGATAATTGCTGTAGCAAAAGAAAGTTTCGAAGAAACCTCGAAACTGAATTTCTAAACCTACTTAAATGCCGCGGCTTCAAATGAAGGCACCTTCGCGGAACGATATTACAGATTCGCACTTTTCGAATGTTAATTAGATTTGACGCGGCTCGAATCGCGGCGAGCAAATTGTTTTGTTGGATTTTATAACGATACGAACGTTCGCGTATTTATCCTCGAAAGTTGAACATTCCTTCGCTCGGCTTTAAGATTAACACTGCGACCATGTTAAACCTGGATCAATTAATCCGTAATTGCTCGAACGACGAGCCGCATTCGTAACACGCGCGAATCCATCGAATTTCCAAAATACTTATATCATCGACGCTCTGTTTTTATCGCCCGGTAGGCACGTTCGCGAACTCGCGAAATCGCTTCTGCACGCAGAAAATTGTTAATTAAAAAACAGCGACCAACGCGCGTCTAGTCTTCCTTACCGCACGTGCAATTCCGAATCGTTTCGTCCTCGCTGTCCCCGCTGATAGCGACGTCGAGACCGAACAATTCGTCGAACAGGAACTTGCCCTTTCGATTGTGTGTCGGATCCGCCGTCTGAAAGAAACTCGTCACTGTAACACTTTCACGAGGCGCTCACTTTCCATTACAAATAAGTCGGGACGAACGGAGCCAGTAACTGCGACCGACGCGGGTCAAGGTCTCGATCGTTTAATTCCAACGGGCACGAACAAATTAGGATCTCAAATTCTCCGTGTCGCACCCGTAAAATTGATTCGAACGCGTTCAAAGCGTAGACTTTCATATCGATCCAGAATTACGCACTGCCTCTGAACGTAATTAATGTTAATCACTGAAACTTCGGGAGACGTCGCGAAATTTGTCTCGAATCGCACCGATCCGGATCAGCGGATTTCTTGTTTTTGCTACGGAGATAAGTTTCATCGGAAGTACAAGTAACTTTTTACAATAAGAAAATTGGATTTCGCTTAAGCATAAAACCGTTTACGGCGTCGCTCCGATGAGAAATCAGTGTTGTCAGGATATTCGAAGAAAGAAACGACGTTTTATGCTTGAATTCAGAAAACGGACGAAGGCATCGGGAACGAAGGAAATTACTCGAGCCTCCACTGAATTTGTTATCGTTCGAACACGTCTTCCACACCATTTATCGCGCGAATTTTCAACAATTCGGATGATCAAGCTTCCACCGTATCACCTCTGGACAGCTCGATCATTTCAACGCGGTCGAACCGAATGGTCGCATCGAATCGAACCGAAGAATCGCAGTTACTCGCCCAAGTTCCACCGAGCAAACGGCTAGCCGTACGAGAACGGTGTACAGAAATTGATGAAAACCAGCACGGGCACACGTCACAGATGAATCCACGTTACTTACGGTGTAATTCGCAGCGTCGATCGGATCATCCCTCTCGACGACGAGGCAAGCGGCGCGGGCGAGGACTAGCAGGATCGATCCGAGGATCCAGACCGTTCGCACGGTCATCTTTTCGGCTAGCGGAAGGATGCGGCGAGGCGTCGGGAACGAAAATATGTCACGGCAGAGCTTCTCGTTCGTCGGCGACCGAGCTTCCTAAGCGGTTGACTCGTCCACGGGTCGCCTCGTGATCGCGCATTCTATCGCGTGTCCGCGCACCATCCGCAGCTCGTAGACCTTATTCACCTTCTGGCCCTGCACTTCATCCAGAAGCTGCAGAAGATCAGGCTACGTTGGTGCAGACGCTTTCACCGTGCCACCACGAAGACGCCGGACTGACCGACCAAGACCGAGCAGCCGTTCAACGCTCGCGAAGAAAGTTCTTTGTCCGCGTCCTGTTGCTCTTCCCATTCAGTACGCGACGCTGATCGCACGTGATCCTCTCGATTCGAAATTGGCAAGATCCTCGTGGCCGAGGATTAGTGTCACGCGACCGTTGTCGCCGCTCATCGATCGTCCGGTGTCTCTTTTTCACGGCGGAACGGGCGTACCTTCCGATCGGCGATACCCTAATTTCCACGGGACTCCCGCGAAACGCACCCGCCCGCCGCCTTTCACGAGCGGAATTCTTTCCGAGAAGTTTCCGAGCGCGGCCGCGCCGCCGCCGACAACGACGACGACGACGACGACGACGATGCTTCTCCTCGCAGCTCCTCCGGGAAGGACCGAGCCGAACGAAAATCCTCGGTAAGATTTCCCGTTGACCAGGATGTGTACGCAGCGAGTACTCATCTGCGCTATCTTTACGCGATGGTCCTGTCGCAGAGCCAAAAGAGACCCTCCCACCGCCAAGGATCGCACCACTTTTATTCATCCGATCCGACCGCCCCACTCTGCTCGACGAGCCGAAGACACGCTTTCGGAACCCTTTCAAAAAAAATTTCTCTTCTCGCGATCGTCACCGGATGAAACCAGGAGACGAAGGTGGACAAGTCCGATCGATGAAATCGCGCGGCCGATGGAGCCGCGAAAATCTGGCCCGGTCGTGAAGAGCTTTTTATTAAAAAACTTCTTCCCTCCGGACGAAACTGTGCCGCAGTTTCGCGGACGCTTCCCACGCGATTCGACCGTGTGCTGGCGACAATTGTTTACTTTTATAGAGGCTTCATCGTCGGGACCGTTGCCTCGGTCAACGTTTTCGGAGAATTTGCCGGATATTCGGCGAAATTCGCCGAAAATCGCAGCGCTCGATGTAGCATGTCGCGAATTGTTCGAACATTTTCATCGGATTCGGCGATTCGCGGTTAAATCGTTTCGATGGTTAAAGCATAACTTTGAAGTGAATCGAGATATTATATTCACTTGCTTTACATAGGATATATTCACAGAACTTTATAAATCGCTGTTCATTTTTAATCAAAGTCGGATAATTTAACCAAAGACGCAGCTTTACTTTAGAAGCTTTGTTTCAGTTGATCGTCATTTCATACACCTCTCGGAACATTGTCAAAGTCACGATCACTATCATCAGCCGCGTTAAACGCGACCAATGTATGTTGTTTGCACTCGTACGATTTCTATCGCAACACGTGCATCGGTAACCGTGTAAGAAAGAATCATAAACCAGTTGTTTCGACTGGTTTCTTTTTTAATTTCGAGTACGAAGATCGCTGCCGAAGCGTTCCATTTCTTAAAGCTGCTTTTTCAACAGTTTGAAAACGAGTGCAGAATTATATTAGTTTTTACTCTCGGAGCTATTGTTAAAGAATCATAAACCAGTTGTTTCGACTGGTTCCTTTTTTAATTTTGAGTACGAAGATCGCTGCCGAAGCGTTTCATTTCTTAAAGCTGCTTTTTCAACAGTTTGAAAACGAGTGCAGAATTATATTAGTTTTTACTCTCGGAGCTATTGTTAAAGAATCATAAACCAGTTGTTTCGACTGGTTCCTTTTTTAATTTTGAGTACGAAGATCGCTGCCGAAGCATTTCATTTCTTAAAGCTGCTTTTTCAACAATTTGAAAACGAGTGCAGAATTATATCAGTTTTTACTCTCGGAGGTATTGTTAAAGAATGATAAACCAGTTGTTTCGACTGGTTTCTTTTTTAATTTCGAGTACGAAGATCGCTGCCGAAGCGTTTCATTTTCTAAAGCTGCTTTTTCAACAGTTTGAAAACGAGTGCAGAATTATATCAGTTTTTACTCTCGAAGGTATTGTTAAAGAATCATAAACCAGTTGTTTCGACTGTTTCCTTTTTTAATTTTGAGTACGAAGATCGCTGCCGAAACATTTCATTTCTTAAAGCTGCTTTTTCAACAGTTTGAAAACGAGTGCAGAATTATATTAGTTTTTACTCTCGGAGGTATTGTTAAAGAATCATAAACCAGTTGTTTCGACTGGTTTCTTTTTTAATTTCGAGTACGAAGATCGCTGCCGAAACATTTCATTTCTTAAAGCTGCTTTTTCAACAGTTTGAAAACGAGTGCAGAATTATATTAGTTTTTACTCTCGCGGAGGTATTGTTAAAGGTACGTTTAATTTATTTTCGGACTTAAACTGGTTCCAAGCGCTGCGTTATTTGAAAATATATCGTTGTTGCATCGAGTTCGCTACGCTATCAGCTTAAAAGAGCTGTCATTCCTGTTTCGATTCGGGAAGAATCAGGAGTCGCTGGTAACGGTCTGGAGGTTTCACTAACCCACATTCACCATTGAAAGCAAAACGTTTCTGACTACTGACCCGGTTTCCGTTTGCCCGTTCATCTCGATCGAGGACTCTGTCGTTTATCTAACATCTTTTCGTTGATGTCCACTCTTTTTCTTTTCCAGTCGGATTTTTCAACGACCGTTACTTTTTACCGGTTTGCACTGGGACCAGACGTTTTTTGGACGGTTTTCCTGGTAGAAAAGGAGATCGACGCGCTTCGTGCAATGGAGATGCATTTAACCGGTCGGTTTAAGTCGCACTCTGTCGTAAATTTTGCACGATTTCGACTGAGTTTAATAAACCCAGATTCCGATTTGAAATTCTTAAAATATATATAGTCGTTGTTTATCGAACAGGGCATATATACAATACGTACTTGCGATCGTATGAACTATAAATAATGCCTTTTACAACGAATGCAAAATCTGTGTCACCGTTGTGCCACAAACATTTGTTATGCTCGACTTTTACTCGTACGTGATTTGCCGATTCATGGATCTTTTTGTCACAGAATATTATATATTATTACATTTATTTCATTACATATTATTATATATTATTACAGAATATTCGATGAACACATTTTTTGTATTTAACAATCGTTTTATACAGGCGATGCGACGTCGCAGAATGTCAGCACTCGTTTATGTACACAGGACTAGATTATCTTAACTATGTGCGAACGAATTAACGAATTAACAACAACAATAAATTAATGATTCACGACGATTGCTCGATATGGTAAATGTTTCGTAGTTATTTACAGATATATCTTTGACATACGGAATGCAGAAGCGTTTAAGGATAATGCGATCGAGGAGGCTGACGTACGCAATGACGTACACTTGTGCCCATAACTATGAAAGTGGTCTAAGTCAAAATTTAAAAAAAAATGAATTTATCACTTATTTCACACGACATGATTTTAAACTAAATTTATTCAATGTAATTTTTACGATATCGTCAAAAATGAACCTTTAGATAGTAGTTGTAATTACAACGTTATACGGAATTCGTTTAGTGTTAATTATGAAAGTGGTCTAAGTCAACAATTTAAAGAAATTATATAATAAAAATTATATGATAAAAATGGATTACTTTTTAAAAATGATTAATAAATATTTATGAATTATTTCGTTAAAGTTGTTGTTTCAAATGGACCGTTTATTTCGAAAGTGGTATAAGTTCTTTTTTTTTAAAGAAATTCAAAATGCCGGATCTGAGCTTGTATTGTCTAAATACCCCACGCAACGCCACTTACAATTTCTTTCGATGACATTGGACTTACACCACTTTCAAAATAAACGGCTCAAATAAAAATCACAATTTTTTATTACTTTAAGTCAATTATAGAACATTCAGTTAATTTTGAAAATGGTCTAAGTCAATTCAAGCCTTAAAAACAACATTTTCCTATGAAATTCACACAAAATTTCATATCTATAATAAATTTCCATTAATCAAGACTAATCAAATTATAAATTAAAATGTCGCATAATGTAAAAATATTTTTTAATTTATTCAAATGCGATTCATTAAATATCTCGAAACAAGAAATATATGACTTAGACCACTTTCATAATTATGGGCACATTTAACGCTATCTCTTAATACTGATCGATCTAGTTTCGTTGATTAATCATAGAACATTATAAGTACCGATGAATAAGTTCAACGCTCGGAATGTGCTTGATCGTTTGTTCCTTAAGGTGCCCAGTTGTGTTTTACGTTGATAAGATCCTCAGGCGTCACAGATTAATGACGCGGCGGCGGACAGACGCATTCACCGTCGAGATGATCCGTCATCCATCCGAGATAGTTTGTTAGTTTCGTGTAGATGCCTGGGAATTTTGGTTTCGCGCAACCACGACCCCATGAAATAATACCTACGCAAAATGTCGTTTTACATAGATATGTTTACATATTGTATATTTGACGCGCGATGTTCGCGATGTTCGAGTCGTTGCACGAAGTTATTTAACACGTTCCGTGCCACGTGTACCATCGATGGTGTACATCGATAAACAGCCTGTGGGTATTTATGCGAATTCATGTTATTATTGACAAGTTCTAGAAAGCAGAAAATGAAATGGATCTTTTTTCATTAACGATTTCGACGAATTAAAAATAAAATGAAATTGTATTAAATTTTGGTCGATTGTATGCTTCATATATTTTCATTTATATTATAATAAATATTTATATTCATGATCTTACCGACTACTTCAAGATGTCCGTACGTTCCTTTTACATGGAGGGGACCGCCGCTATCGCCCTTTAAATAACCCATAACATATTAAATAGAAGATATCTAGTGGTTTTAATATTTATAATTTAATTATTATATTATAATATATATATTATAACATAATAATATATAATATATTATATATATTATAATATAATTATTAATATTATAATATATTATATATATTATAATATAATTATTATATTCATCGGTTTTAATATTTATTATACAGTAGATCCTCGATTATCGGAACACCCGTTATCCGAACTCTCTATTATCCGGAATTCTATTATCGGGGCGTTCTATCATCCGAAGCAAGCATTTCGTGACACGAGTGCGTGTAATTTATCTAGCATCGTGTATTTTTCCCTCCTTCCTCCTATCCTCAAATCTAACGATCAAAGGAGCAAGCTCTGGAGCTAAATGAGGAAATGCAAGGGAGTTCTAATTTTAAAGCTAGCAGTGGCTGCTTATCAAAATTCAAGTTACGCCGCGGTACTCGATAANTATAATATATTATATATATTATAATATAATTATTAATATTATAATATATTATATATATTATAATATAATTATTAATATTATAATATATTATATATATTATAATATAATTATTAATATTATAATATATTATATATATTATAATATAATTATTATATTCATCGGTTTTAATATTTATTATACAGTAGATCCTCGATTATCGGAACACCCGTTATCCGAACTCTCTATTATCCGGAATTCTATTATCGGGGCGTTCTATCATCCGAAGCAAGCATTTCGTGACACGAGTGCGTGTAATTTATCTAGCATCGTGTATTTTTCCCTCCTTCCTCCTATCCTCAAATCTAACGATCAAAGGAGCAAGCTCTGGAGCTAAATGAGGAAATGCAAGGGAGTTCTAATTTTAAAGCTAGCAGTGGCTGCTTATCAAAATTCAAGTTACGCCGCGGTACTCGATAAACAGATATTAGCGGAGAAAAACTTCAATAACAAAACAACAGGCGTCGATGAGGTTTTCCAAAACATTGTAAATGAGAAAGTCCATTGACGATGATTATCAACGAACATATATCTTCTCATTTCGAAGTATTCGAAGCTCTCGAGAAAGGGCTTGGATGGTTTCAAGCACAAACGGAATGCAACTCTAAAGAATTACTAACGCTAAGAAACATAGGTGGCTTAGCAGCGAAAAAAAGCACGGGATCCGTAAGAGTTTATGTAATTTTTTCTTATTGCTTATATAATTTGTATTGTTTGTATCACGGAATAAAAATAAAAATCAGTAACGAAGTGTGTATTTTTAGTACAGGATGGGCTATTGTTCTATTATACGAAAATTCAATTGTCGGAGCACATTATTAATTTAATAATAATGTGTGTTATAAATAATTAATTTAACCTTATTAATTCCGTTAGTCGAGGTTCTACTGTGTTATCATAGAATGTCTACAATTATCGAAGCTTCAAAGAGTATTCATTACCTATCAAATTCTAATGTTAGTTGCAACGCATAATTAATTGAGAAATTATTGTTTCTTCTTCGATCATACATTCTAGTAATTGATTGTGCAATTATCATTGCCGTATCGATACATTTGTTCTTACAAATCAGAGAAATATAAATCGTTTTTTAAAATTTTAAACAATTATTTCGGGTCACCATCGAGTTTCGAAGACATATTAAGACTATTACATAAATATATAAATAAATATCTAATACTTATTATATAAATATATTCTTTAGCTTTTGATCTAAGCTTCTGTGATCGGAAATATGTGAAGTGATGACCTTTTTCTCGAAAGAAGATACCTGAATTCATAATAGCTGTCCTATTGTGAGCCCGAAGTAACGGGAGTGAAGTAGACAGCTATTGTGACTTCGGTTATATTTTTCTAGAAAAACGGATGACATCTGGTTGTTAACGTCGCAAACCAATAAATAATAAAAAGTACACGTTGTTCTTATTCCCAATATGTAAGACTATGGTGTACGGTCTAGTTCTATAGGAAAAATAATTTATTACAACCATTGCAAAACATTGTAAAAGTACTCACGAAACAGGCGTCGCGTTCACCTTCCAGATAACCGGCGCAGAACATGTTCTCAGTGATTCTTTCCTTCTGATATCCCGCCTGATCACACTCTTCCTGCGATAAAATTGGGAGGCTGACTTTTCGCAATTCGTTGCTTACAGCTTGATCCTCTCCAGTTCGACCCCAGCCGACCACCGTAGCCGTTGCTCCTGTGTAGTCGATAGCTTCTACAAATCGTGCAAATAGCATCAAGTCAATAGGATCACATTTTCGTTTTAATCTCAATATTTAAAAAATAAGATTCTCTAACTTTTATCTCGTTTTAATGATATCTTCTTTAGCTTAGCAGCACCTCGATCGAGGCTTGGGCAACAATAATCTATGCCTTCTTCGAACATGAATTCAGGACGAAATTCTTATATCGTATTAAGCCAAATAATTGATTGAACCACGGATGAGACGCGTATATTTTTCAGCTCTTTCTAAAGAATAATATAATAACAATAAACTGTCCGTAAACGAAGTGTTGATCACATCGTGAATATTGAGCTCATTGACTCGTCACGGAGGCATTATCTTGCGCATAAAGTTAAACAGAAATGGAGATAATCGATTCCACGATAATGTGATTCGCGACTCGTAATCGTAACTGTTCTCGTCGCGACCGACTGCTCGCAGGGCATCTTTTCACGACACTGTCGGAGCGATATTGCATAAACTCTTCCAACAAAACTTGCGTACTCACTATCTTCTGGTAGACACGCGGTTCTCACGATGCCATTCACATCCACCGGCCGGTCCATTTCGATGATAGCGATATCGTTGTTGAACGTGTACGAGTGAAAGTTTTCGTGGATGGAGACCGATTTGACGCGGCGGACTATCGCGTTTTTGTTCAATTTTGGACGGTCGCTGTCTGCTAGGACCAGTTTTATGCTCTTCGTGTTGAACCTGCGGGAAACAGTTGATAATTGTTCCTATGTACAGCGTTTCGTTGTGATCTTCGTCTCTTGCGCTACGATTTGTTAGCTGTTTTCGACGAGTATATTCGTCGTGACATAAAATATTTTTATATCTTCGTGACTACTATA